CTGGAAGGACTTAAAAACAGAATGGATGCGATGCAAGAGGCCATTAATAGAATAGAAATCAGAGAACAGGAATGCAGAGAAGCTGATGCAGAGAGAGATAAAAGGATCTCCAGAAATGAAACAATATTAAGAGAACTGTGTGACCAATCCAAAAGGAACAATATCCACATTATAGGGGTACCAGAAGAAGAGAGAGAAAAAGGGATAGAAAGTGTCTTTGAAGAAATAATTGCTGAAAACTTCCCCAAACTGGGGGAGGAAATAGTCACTCAGACCACAAAAACACACAGAACTCCCAACAGAAGGGACCCAAGGAGGACAACACCAAGACACATAATAATTAAAATGGCAAAGACCAAGGACAAGGACAGTTTTAAAGGCAGCTAGAGAGAGAAAAAAGGTCACTTACAAAGGAAAACCCATCAGGCTATCATCAGACTTCTCAACAGAAACCTTACAGGCCAGAAGAGAATGGCATGATATATTTAATGCAATGAAACAGAAGGGCCTTCAACCAAGAATACTGTATCCAGCACGATTATCATTTAAATATGAAGGAGGGATTAAACAATTGCCAGACAAGCAAAAGTTGAGGAAATTTGCCTCCCACAAACCACCTCTACAGGGTATTTTAGAGGGACTTCTCTAGATGGATGCACTCCTAAGGCTAAATAGATGTCACCAGAGAAAATAAAATCACAGCAAAGAAAGCAGACCAACCAAATACTAACTAAAGGCAAAAAATAAAATCAACTACCCACAAAAGCACTCAAAGGAAACACAAAAGAACATAGAATAAAACACCTAACATATAAAGAATGGAGGAGAAGGAATAAAGAACCATCAGACAGTGTTTATAATAACTCAATAAGTGAGTTAAGTTAGACAGTAAGACAGTAAAGAAACTAACCTTCCTTGAACCTTTGGTAACCACGAATCTAAAGCTTGCAATGGCAATGAGTACGTATCTTTCAATAATCACCCTAAATGTAAATGGACTGACTGCACCAATCAAAAGACGCAGAGTAATAGAATGGATAAAAAAGCAAGAACCATCTATATGCTGCTTACAAGAGACTCACCTCAACCCAAAGACATGCACAGACTAAAAATATTCCGTATTTTTACTAAAATAAACTAATAAAAAGATTATCAACTTATAAACTTAGATTGGCAACTGCTTACCAAAGAATGCTTGTCCATTAACCTTACCTCTCTGGAGAGCAGTGTCCTAAGGCTCCCTCTCTGCAGTGCCAATGAGATGTACACAAATCAGTTCTAGTTCAGTGCCACTAAGGGACCTATGAAGAGGGATTTTGGTGTTTGTTTGCATATAGTTCCCCACCCAAACATTCAGTGCCTTTCCAATTATCAGCAGGAACTATAATGTATGCAATTATGTAACACAATCATGAAACAGAAAGCACAGTCCAGGCAGAATGTGCTCTGGAAGGCAGGGCAGGAGGAGAAGCTTGAGCACTGTCCTGGAAAGAAGCAGGTGTCCCAGTCCAAGGATGCTGGTTCTCTGGGTCTGGGGTATGGCCCAGTTGCATGCTGGTGGTTCTGGGGTGAACCTGTGGAAGGCAGTCAGATCAGGGAAGGGAGATATGACTTCTACTCATGCACCTCCACCAACCTGCAGTTTGGCCATAGATGACAGTTTCCATTTCCTGGATTTTAATCTCTCTTTTCTCTATGAAATGGAATAGTTGGACTAAAGTGGCATCCTCATCCTATCACAAGGCGACATGACATGTGAAGAAGGAACACGGGCCGAAGGCCAGGCTCTGGACTGGTGCTCTCTCCAGAGTCATCCTTCCTATCCCTTACCCTTTAAGGGGTCCTTCTTACCCTGAAATCCATCTCCCATGTGTCCCCACCTGCCCCAGGCAGTGTCTTAATTCAAATGTCCATCACTTCTCACCGAGACATTTTCAATAGCTGCCCAGCTATTTCCCTGACACCAACCTTGATCCCGTCCAATCCACCCTCACCCTGCCTTGCTGGTGTGCATCTTTCACTGTGGTTGGAATTTCTGGCTTATCACAAGAGTGCGTTTGCCCTGCTTTATACACCAACCACTTTGTCAGATCATTAACATCCTGGCAATCACCAGGGAGCAAGTGACATTTTTACAACATTATGCTGCTGCTTTCTCCTTCTTTCTTCAGAAAACCCTCAGTGTCTTCCTTTGTACAAGATGAGCCAGGGTGTTATCGTGAAAGTTTGCCATTTTGATTTATTCCTCACAATCAACAAAGTCTTAGAGAATTCTGCTTCCACTGGGAGCTGTGTCTCCATCCACACACCTGGGCATTGGGTGGTCCCTGTGGCCTCAGTCAAAGAGTCTCTCCTGGGATTTCCATTTTGTTTCAGTGGGGCTAATGACCAAAATTTGAAAGTTCCTTGAAGTCCAGAACTCTGCCTCATTTGCTATTCATCCCCCAGCCCCTACACAGCCTGGGATATTTGTTGAATGAATGAATTCATCCATCTAAGATAAGTATTAGAAGTTGTCCTTCACAATTCCCCAGGGTCAAAAATGAATAGGAGCAGTAAAGGAGCCATGGATATACCATGGGGAAATGACAGCCTTTTCAACAGCTGGTGTTGGCAAAACTGGACAGTCACATGCAAGAGAATGAAACTAGATTATTGTTTAACCCCATACACAAAAGTAAACTCAAAATGGATCAAAGACCTGAATATAAGTTATGAAAGATAAAACTCTTAGAAGAAAACATAGGCAAAAATCTCTTGAATATAAACATGAGCAACTGTTTACTGAACGCATCTCCTCAGGCAAGGGAAACAAAATAAAAAATGAACAAGTGGGACTACATCATGCTAAAAAGCTTCTGTACAGCAAAGGACACCATCAGCAGAACAAAAAGGCATCCTACAGTATGGGAGAATATATTTGTAAATGACATATCTGATAAGGGGTTAACATCCAAAATATATAAAGAACTCACATGTCTCAACACCCAAAAAGCAAATAATCCTATTAAATGGGCGGAGGGTATGAACAGACACTTCTCCAAAGAAGAAATTCAGATGGCCAACAGGCACATGAAAAGATGCTCCACATCACTAATTATCAGGGAAATGCAAATGAAAACTACAATGAGATATCACCTCACACCAGTTAGGATGGCCAACATAGAAAAGAATAAGAACAACAAATGCTGGTGAGGATGCAGAGAAAGGGGAACCCTCCTACACTACTGGTGGGAATGTAAATTAGTTCAACCATTGTGGAAAGCAGTATGGAGGTTCCTCAAAAAAACTAAAAATAGAAACACCATTTGACCCTGGAATTCCACTCCTAGGAATTTACCCTAAGAATGTTGGATCCCAGTTTCAAAAAGACATATGCACCCCTATGTTTATCGCAGCACTATTTATAATAGCCAAGAAATGAAAGCAACCTAAGTGTCCATCAGTAGATGAATGGATAAAGAAGATGTGGTGCATATGCACAATGGAATATTATTCAGCCATAAGAAGAAAACAAAACCTACCACTTGCAACAACATGGATGGAGCTAGAGGGTATTATGCTCAGTGAAATAAGCCAGGTGGAGAAAGACAAGTACCAAATGATTTCACTCATCTGTGGAGCATAAGAACAAAGCAAAAACTGAAGGAACAAAACAGCAGCAGACTCACAGAACCCAAGAATGGACTAACAGTTACCAAAGGGAAAGGGACTGGGGAGGATGGGTGGGTAGGGAGGGATAAGGGGAATAAGGGGCATTACGATTAGCACACATAATGTAGCGGGGGGCTCAGGGAAGGCAGTATAACACAGAGAAGACAAGTAGTGACTCTATAGCATCTTACTATGATGATGGACAGTGACTGTAATGGGGTATGTGGTGGGGACTTGATAATGGGGGGAATCTAGTAACCACAATGTTGCCCATGTGATTTTATATTAATGATACCAAAAAAAAAAAAAAAGAATAGGAGCACAAACAAACACGGAGCGTTTTTACTCCTCTTGCTCCCTTCTCTCAGGCCTCCTACTACCCCCTCACTGGCCCCCAAGGCCTACAGCAGACTCTCAGGAACCCCTTATCTTAACTCCAGATGCCGCAGGTGCCAAAAGGACAGGTTAATACCAGGAATCATTTCTTCTCATCCTCAGACACCCAAGGACAGTCAGCACTTCTCATCACAAAATAGGATACATATTTTAGTCCATGTTAATTTCAGCAATAATTCCTCTCACCTCTTCACCCACCCTGAAATTCAGTGGCTCGGTAGTGAGGAGTTTCTAGTAAAGGGAAGCACATAGTAGATGCAGGTAAAGACAAGCCCACTTCCAATTCTTACCCCCAGATGACTTTCTATACACAGGCAGAAAAGAAAAATTCAGGACTAAATAGGGTTGGGAGGCCCATATTTGGAATTTTAAGGTTAAGGAAAAAATTTGTACCTACATCGAAATATTAATTGCCACTTAGAACAGACACTGGAATGTGCTTTCTCATGGGCATTTTCAGCATTAATTACTGGTTTCTCCTACTATCCTTTCTGAAAGTAGAGCATTCCTATGAATATTTCATAAACTGAAATGCTGTAAAGCAAAGAAGCAATTACCATTGGAAAACTTTTTGAGTGTTCCCAGACCCAAAAAAATAATCTCTCAGGCTTTTCTGACACCTTAAAACACATCTTGCTGACGGATGCACAAAGTAAATCAAGATAAGCACAGTGCTCACAGCCGCAGTTCAACGTTACAGGGGGCTTGACGCTGAGAGGCTGAGAGGCTGAGGGGATGGATGTAGTTCCCCGGGACGGCACTTGGTGGCGCCACTCTCCCTACTTGGAGGGCACGCTGCCTCCATAGGCTCGCTGCAAAACAAATGCTGAATGTTATTTTCATTTTTCGTCTTTTTTTGTAAGCCTTCTTTGAAAGTCCTCTTCAGATTTCTTTTGCTTAGTGAAAAACGGTACTAATGGAAGGTCGTTCCTACAAGTGTAGTAGCATAATGCAAACTTTCAAAATGCGGAGGATACCTGGATCTAGTTATTGTTTCCTTATGTTTCTGGTTTTTTGTTTTTAGGATGGTAGCCTTCCTTTTTTCTTTTTTTTTTCTAACGCACTCAGTTATGCCATCTGGTGGCCAAATAAACTAGAACATATGCAATCACACGGCCTGAGAGCGCCTTTGCAGCGAAAATGTGAATGTGGCCTTTTAAGAGGTATTCCTTCCCCCTTTTGCTCTCCCCACCTTCCTGCCATCTTCCCATTAAAATACATCACCAGTGAGAATTTCTCACAATTTGGGGGCTCGTCCAGGATCCTCTTGCCTGTGCAAGGTGGGGGCCCAAGCAGAGTGGGAAGACGCGTCCCGCCTGGCTTTGGGCGGCCCGCTCAGCCTGGGCGTCTCACCTTCACACGGAAGCCGAAGGGAGACCCGAGACTGTTGTGCGGAGACAGTGTGACCAACGCAGGGGAGAAAATGCAGGCACTGTGGCAACCAGGCAACCTCGTGCACGAGCCAAGGTGGGAAAATTGGGCTATATTAAGTACTGCCTTGGTGGTTGGGCATTTTTCAGAGGTCGAGTGTGTGTGGCTGAGACGTGTAATATCGGGGTGTGTGCAAGAAACTTCCATTATGGAGGGTTGAGTACACAGGGAACTCAGACACAGAGACCTCTTGAAGGACGGGAAATACAAATTCTAGGCCTAGAGAAGCAGAGAAAAGAAACCACATGAGCTCCCTTGGAATTCCCCCCCAGATACCCAGCTGGGGTGAAGGTTACGGTACAGGGGGGACGCCTCCTGTACCGGGTTAAGGACAAACAGAAGATGATCAAATTTTGCTGTTTTGTCTGGATTAAAGTTAGATCAGATGAAAACTGGCTTTGTCAGGTTTGAGTTATTTTTTTATGGTAATAAAGCCTCCAGTTCACCTGAGGAATCTGTTAGTTACCCTCAACACCAGGGAAAGGAAAGCTAGGGAGGAATAAATACAAGAGACCTCCCAGGACAAGCCCTGGTGTTGGGAGAGCGTTGTGTGTTTTCCTCTGTCCCTTTCCCCGCGGCAGCCGCAGCGGGGAGTTGAGGGGAGGGGACACGGCGGTGGGGCGGAGTGAGAGTTTTGTTTGGAGTTACTCCTGGAGAGAGAAAGTGAGGCCACCTCAGGGGTTAGGGGCGCCCTGAGAGGTTGGAGAGAGAAAGTTTTAAGTTACAAGGTTGTGCACTTTGAGGGTGCCAGCTGCCTCGAAGAGAGGAGCACCCCAGAGGTTGGGGGTTCCCTTTTTAAGGATTCTTTAGGAGTGTGGCCGGCACCTGGAGGTGTAGACTTGTTAGGTGGTCTCAAGTATCTTTGATGAGACATTGTATCTCTTATCAGTCATCTGGGTAATTCTGCAAAATTAGCTTGACACAAGAAATTGACTGCTTTAGTCCCCTCCCAGGATGGCAGCTTCCTGGTTTGGGAGCATATCAGGACTGACTGCCCTTCTTCCAAGGGGGCAGAGTTATTGTCAGTTTGCTAATGAGTAAGTTGAGAATCTTGCTTCTTGACCATATAGGTAAAGTTAAAAAAAAAAAGAAAAGAAGACGCTGGGCCTGTATGATTAACATAATAAAAGGCTATGCTGAAGTACCCTCTCCTTTATCTGAGGAATATTCAAACATTCCAGGCCAAGTTGCTCATGTCTTTTTGAGCTTTAATTAACTCTGGGTCGTTTTAGTGTACTTTCCTGGCCTTTTTCTCTTTCCACCCACTCATATCTCATATCAACAGGCGTTCAGAGGTGGAAAGAAGTATGGCTTTAGTGCATTTGCATCTTTCCTCCGGTGGAGAGACCTGGGCAACAGAGGGCTTATCTGTACCTGAGAGGTGAGGGGGAGAGCCGGTTTTTGGCTGATGCTAGAGCCTGAAAGAGAGAAACGGCCCCAGACTGCAGCTTATGAGCAGTAAATAGATTTTAAACTTTATTTCTCCCGTTGACTGATTTCAGTTTTCAGAGGTATTTTGCCCCAGGATTTCCTCTCCCTGGACTTAACAATGTAAGAAGGACTTAGAGTTTCCCCTTGCCTTCTGGGGAGTCCACCAGGAATCCCAAGATGTTTCCATTGAGAGAGATCCCACCAGGACAAGGGGAAATTTGTTAATGCTCCCCTCATGGGTACTGAGGTGAGAAATTTTAAGCATTGCTAGAAGATCCCTTTGGCCAAGTGGACCCACTAGATCAATTCCTGGGACCTAATATATATACTTAGGTTGAACTGATGTCCATCATGAATATCCTATTCCCTGGTGGTGAGAGGGGCGTGATCAGGAGAGCTGCTGTGTCCATTTGGGAACAAAAACACCCACCGGGCCAGGGTGTCCAGTCAGCGGAACAAAAGTTCCCAAATGTAGATCCTAGATGGGATAATAATAATGTAGGGGATAGAATTAAAATGCAGGATCTTCAAGGGCTAATTATAAAGGGAATTAGGGAATCGACCCCAAGATCCCAAAATGTTTCTAAGGTGTTTGAAGTCCAATGGGAAAAGGAAGAATCCCAACTGCATTTTCATAGAGACTCAGGAACCAGATGAGAAAATATTCAGAACTTGACCCAGAAGCTCAGGTAGGACAGGATCTTTAAAAAGTCAATTTTGTAACCAAAAATTGGCCAGATATATCTAAGAAATTATGGAATTTAGATGGATGGAATGAAAAACCTAGAGAAAATTACTGAGACAAGCTCAAAAAGTGTTAGAAGAGAGGCTAGAAGCTTGTATTTCAAACTCTTAGAAGGAGGGCCAGACCCTCTCCAATAGACCCAGTGGAACTGCAAATTCTAGAGGAATTGAAAGCAATCCTTAGTCACCACCCCAGTCCTGGCACTCTCATCTTTAGAGAAGCCATTTCACTAGTTTGTTACTGTTGAACAAGGTTCCCTGTAGGGGTTTTGACTCAAACCTGGGGAGGAAAGAAACAACCAGTAGCCTTTATGTCTAAACTATTGGACCCTGTCTCTTGAGGATGGACTGAATGCATTCAGGCCATCGCAGCCATGACCTTACTGGTGGAAGAGAGCAGGAAATTAACTTGGAGGAACCCTCACGGTCAGTACTTCTCACCAGGTTGGGGTCATGCTTACTTAGTGGGCTGGGCACTGGCTAATAGATTCTCAAATTTTAAATATGAAGCAAGTTTACTTGAAAAAGATGACTTGATCTTAACCACAGACACCTGTCTCAATCTGACCAGCTTCCTATGGGCAGGGGAGGCTGAAGGTCAATCAGAATTGAGCCACAGTTGCATGGACCTCATAGAGTATCAGACTAAAGTCAGGCCTGGTTTAAGGAAAACTCCTCTAGGTGGGGGTATGAAACTGTTTATAGATGGATCCTCCCAGATGATGGAGGGCAAATGACATAATGACTATGCCATCATTGATGTAAACCAGTTATCCATCTGCAAAAAGGGGAGATTACCCAATCATTGGTCAGCTCAAACCTGTGAGTTGTTTGCTCTTAATCAGACCTTAAAACTACTTTCAGATAAGGAAGGCACCATTTACACAGACATGCCTTCAGAGTAGTCCATACCTTTGGAAAAATTTGGACAGAAAGAGGTCTTATAAATAGTAAAGGACAAGAATTGATTCATGGGAAATTAATTAAAGAGGTTCTGGAAAATCTTGTACTTCCAGCTGAGATTTCTATAATGCATGTGAATGGTCACCAGAAAGGAAGTTCTTAGGAAGCTATGGGTAATAGGATTCCTGTTGTAGCTGCTAAAGAGGCTGCACCTGAGGATGAAATTAGATTTTTGAACCTCACCCCAAATATCCCTAAAATCTCATTGATCCCAAAGTTTTCCAAGAAGGAGATTAAGAAGCTACAGGAGGTGGGGGCATCTCGAGATGAGAAAGGGCGGTGGACTTTACCAGATGGGAGAGAAATGATCGGCCAGCCTATTATGAGAGAGCTGATGAACATGTTACACAGAGGGAGCCATTGGGGTCCTCAGGTGATGTGTGTTGCTTTGTTAAAGGTTTTTATGGGTGTATTAGCATTTACACCATTGCTAAACAGGTTTGTAAGACCTGCATAACCGTGCCAAAGAATTACTAAGAAGTGTATGAGAAAGCCAGTATCTGGAGGAGGGAGACTCCCAGGAATAAGGCCATTCCAAAGTATTCAGATTGACTTTACTGAGATGCTGAAAGTGGGAAAGCTTAAATATTTAGTAGTGATTGTTGACCATCTCACAGGATGGGTGGAGGCCCACTCATTAACAACTGCAATGGTAGGATCAGTGATAAAAGTACTTTTAGAACAAGTTATTCCTAAGTTTGAGTTAATAGAAAATGTTGATTCAGATAATGAGAGTCATTTTACTTCAAAAGTACGACAGGGAATAATGATTATTACATGAGCTACCATATTGGGGAAGGGCAACAGACTTGCCCACTATGGAAACAAAAGATCAATTTTTAAGAGAGTATGTGCTGGCCATGTCTTCTACCTTATCTTTTCTCAGGCTGAAAGGACTCCTCACCCAGACTCCCCCGCTTGAGTTCTTCGCTCACTGCTTCCAGCCTAGAGAACCTGGTGTTAGTAAAATCCTGGAAAGACTGACTCCAGCCCAGCTGGGAAGGCCCCTCCCAAGTGCTCCTGATCGCGGAGACGGCAGTGAGGATGGCTGAAAAGGGCTGGACTCATTACACCAGAGTAAAGAAACTGACTGGGGGATCTGGGGACAAAACAGACTTGGCAGGTGTCGCACATGGCTAACCAACCCTTAAGACTGAAACTAAAAAGAACCTAAAAATGTTAACTTTTATCCTTCTAACTCTGTATTTCACAGGCAAATCACAGGAAGCCCTAGAATGGGAAGGAACTCCTGGTTATCCTGTCAAACTGGTAATCAATATTACTAAAACATCAAGCCCCAAACCATTAGGTTTGATGCTTGTCAGGTTCTCTCTTGTGGTGGCCTAAATGACCAAAGACAGCTTTCTGGAGATAATAAGTATCTCTGTCCTGAATGGACAAATCTTAATAGAATAAAAAAAGGCAAGTAGGCCCCATGTCCAAGGTGGAGCAGTGTTTGGTGGACTACCCAGTTTCAAGGGTGGACAGCCCCTCGTGCAGTAGAAAAATCTTTAAAAAGAAAGCTCCACTTAGCTAAAGGAATTCCTCCTGACAATTGCCAGGATAGACAGTGTAAACCCCTTTTATTAACTATACATAAACCTCAAGACGGACTCGGTGCAGATGTCATTGGAGTAGATCCTGTGGGAAGGTTTGGTCTTAATTTAATCAAAGGTAAGACTTCACCCATAGTGGCCACCCCCAATCCTGAGGGAAATATCAAGCCAGAGCTTCCCCATAATGACCCTAGACTAGTTACTGTAACAGAGATAAAAGATCTAAAACAGACTCTTGAAATAGAGATAGGTTATGGAGACACCAATGCCTGGGTAGAGTGGGTTAAATTTTCAGTACTTGCTTTGAATAAAAGCAATTGTTACGCATGTGCTCCTGGATGGCCACAGGCACAGGTGGTCCTGTTCCCTCTCGCCTGGGACACAGACCCCACTGGGATGAACTGCATGTTGGCCCTGTACCAGGACAAGGACGCTTGGGGAAATGAGACTTGCAAGGGCTTGTCTTTACTCTTTCATGCACTAAAGAAGTAAGAACCAAGGGCAGTCCCCTCTTTTTCCATAGAGAAGATGAATCACTCCTCATGCCTCTCTAGGCAAGGGGAAGGTTTCACAACTCCTGTGGGGAACTTACTGACTTGTACCCATGTCCTAAATGTCTCTAAAGAGGGCAACTTCTCGAAATTACGCATCCCCCGACTGGACGTTTGGTGGTACTGTGGAAAGGGGAACCTGCGCTCTCGTTGCCACCCACCTGGACTGGGACTTGTGCTTTAGTCCAATTGGCCATTCCATTTACCCTGGCATTTCTCTCCACACCCAATGAAAACATTTTTTCATAGAACTTATAGATCATTACAAGGCACCACTTTAGCTAATGATTTAGCTGAAAACTGGCACCAGTGACCCTTTTATAGACTGGTTGGAAAGATGGTTTGGAAAATAGAAAGGTGTAGTTCCCTTTGTTTTTAACATCCCCTTGTTATAGTTGTGAGACTTTTAACTACTGTAGGATGCTGTATCATCCCTTGTGTGAGAGGCTTGACTCAAAAGCTTATAAAGGCAGCCATAAACAAGCAAATACCTATGACCCACACCCAAAATAATCTTATTAGAAGAAAATTTGAACTACAAGGAAGAAAGTAAAAAGCTATTAAAGAAATTTGAGAAAGGACCAAGCGTAAATTAAAATACATTACTGGGAATAAAATCAGAAATTCTTAAATAAAAAGAGGGGGCAACTATTAGGAAAGAGTATAAAACCTAAATGTGATTTATTCCCACTAGGATGTTTAAACATTTTAACAGTAAGGTATTAACAAAGGGCCACGTGGTGGAAGCTGCTGGGGCTGAGAGTGGGGGTGGGGGAATTGATAAGGGCCTGGCTATACCTGTTTGAGTTTTTAAACCTACCAATAAGAATAAGACAAATGTAAAGGAAAGATATAATGGGCTTAGATGACGTCCAGGAAAGACTGTGAACCCTGTAGTACTCAGCCAGTGAGGAACCAGGGGACAGACTCGTGCACTAGGAGATAAATTGTTGGCACCAAACTCCCCAGGTGTGCCTGCCCACCAGACACCCAATCTTGCAAGACCGTCATTAAAGCCTCGCTCTGCTGTTCTCTTTGTCTCCGTGTCCACTTACTGAATTTAGACCAGTGAGAGTTTCTCACAAAGGCATTGAATTTAATGGTGTCTGGATCCCTATAGGGAAAGATGAAGACATTTGGTCTTGGTATAGTAAGGACCTTTAAAACTAGTTATGAATAAAGGAAAAAGGACAAGTTAGGGGGAAAAGATCAGTTGCTCGAGGCCAAGAGAGGGAGAGCAGAATCTTTTTCATGCTTCCAGTGGCTAAATAAGAAGCATGACATTTGAATGGGAAAGGGGGAATGACCATTGTTAAGCAGGAATCAGAACCTAACACCTAAAAAAGAACATAAGAGAAACCACTGCTGTTCTAAATGGGTTCTGACCTCCTAACCTGCCCGGATTAATGTTAGAGCACCCAAAATGCCTGAGAGTGTCACCATAAACAATCTTTGAGAGATAATGGAGAGGCAGAGAGGTGTTAGAAGGCTGGAGGTGGTGTAGCTCTGACTTGATGGATGGAAAAAAGGCGAATGTTGAAAACTGCAAAGCAGTGGCCTTGACAATGACCTTGGGCAAAAATCCTCAAGTGAGTTATGAAAAGGTATGCTGTGAGACCTCAAGAGAAGTCAGTGTGGCTACCGGGGGCCTGTAAGGCTCATTGAAGGCAGGCCATGCCAGACTGTCCTCATTTCATGGTCCCTTGTCAGCGCTATAGACTGAGAGAATGGGGCAGGGTCTGCATTTGATCAGGCATTTCATGACATCTTAAATTATACCCTTCTGGAACAAATGAAGGTATTTGTACAGTTAGGATACATGGGAACTGCCCAAATGACAGAATCCTGGGGTACTGGAGGGTTCTCTCCTCAGTCCCACCCTGTTCAATATTTGTGTCATGCCTTGTCTTACATGTTATATAAAGTGGGTGTTTAGCAAATGTGCAGGTGGCACAGTTTAAAAGAATAGAAAACCCATGGGAGTCCAGAATCAGTACCCAAAATCCATCTGGACAGACCAAACAGATTTTAATAGGATGAAGTCAGTCTTTCCTCTCTCCATCCCAGATCCCGTTCTCATGTCTTATGACTCTTGCTCAAGGTTTTCCCTGTTTACAGCTATATTAAAACTTGCCCTGCTTCCTCACTCACTGGGGGCAAAGGCATCTTCTCTGCCTTAACCTCAAGGGTTGCTCCTTTCACCTCTCCAGCAACTGGCCATCTGGTGCTGGAACTGAAGTCACACTAGGCAGAGTGTTTCTCACTCCCTTGACCACGCTGAAAACAATTGAGTCACGGATCGATATGTCCTTAGCCTAAGTGACAGAGACTGGACAGTGTATCCCTCGTGGTCCAGGCCCATACCTTTCCTGGTCTTAAAGCCCTCCTCCCCTCTTCTCCCCAAGACCTTACTCTATTAATCACCTTCTTTGCTGGGGGCCTTCAGGCACCTCCTCTCCTTCCTGCTCCTAAAACAAACAAAAAGAATAAAAGGAACCCCTCATTTTTGCTTTTGCTCTCGTCTTTTCCCTTCTCAATAAACTCTTCAAAAGACTTGTTTCCCCTTCTCTGTCAGAGACTGGGCTCTCTAGAAGCAGACACCGGGAAGGAGTTCAGGATGCAAGATGACAGGAATCAACACCTGGGAAAGTGAGAGGAGGAAGCAGGGCGGGGTGGGGGGTGCTGAGCTGCGGGCCCACAAAGCTATGACAGCTCTCTGCAGAGCTTGGAGCAAGTACTGCCCATCAGCAAACCAAATTAGGCTGAAACAGCCAGGAGTTCATACCCCTGTCCTGCTCGGTCACCACAAGGGCCGCCCAGAGATAGGGAGGCCCCGGAAGGAGCTGATAGCCTGTGACTGTCATTGTACTGCAGTGTCCAGCACCGTCTCCTTGCTTCTCATTTTCTGTTTGTGCAGAAGCCTACCTTCCATCTCCACTTTTATTCCACTTGTCCCAGCCCTTTGCCACAATCCAAATTCAACAGGCATTTTTTGGTTCTTTCCTTATAGCAGAAACTTCCTTATAGCTATATTCATCAGGGCTGACTCTCTCTCTTTGTATCTCTTATTCTCTCACAAGTCTCAGCTCCTTTGATTTCCAGGATAACTTCCTCCCCTACCTCTTTTTAACCTTTCTAGCCATTCCTTCCTGGCTTCTCAAAGGTCTTGTCCTCCTGACCACGTGAAAGTTGGGACCCCATCCTCATCCATCCTTCTCTTGCTCCATGCCTAGGTGGTCTTGCCCACTGTCCAGGTTTTAAGTGCTATTCACATGCTAACAACTCTGAAATCTAGTCTCCAGTGTGCTCTCTCCCTCTCATACGTCCAGTGCTTAGATGTCATTGGCTGCTGGACACCTCCAGGCTAACAACATCAGAACAGTGATGCTCTGCTTCTCCTTCCCACCAGGTTCCCACCCTCTTCCAGTGCAAGAACTGAGGGACCCTTTGAACCCATTCCATCAAGTCCCTTTTTTAGGCAACTAACCTTACTCCCTCCTGTTTGGGCATGTGTATGAACAATAGCAAGAATTCCACTTATGAAGACTTGCATCACTGATGTATAAATAGCTGATGCAGGGTGCTGAGGCCAACGGATATTCATCACCTCTTTCCTGATCCTACTACTTACCTAACCCATGACTTACCTAACCAGGTATGACTCTCTGACTCAGTGGGTCCTGAGGAAAGATTTATTCAGAATTTCCTTATTACAGGTGATAAGAAGTGGCAGTGATTCTTTTATAGCTTGTGTTTCTCCTGAAGAAAACAGAAGCAGAGGGTGTTTAGCCATATTTTTTCTTCCCAGTCGTATCCCTGTGTGTCAAAGGCCTGCCTAGGAAGCATTACTGAAGGAAAATGATCTCCACTTTGCTTAAATATATTATGCTTGCTTGGTGTGTATCTTCCCACTCTTCCCAAATTGGAATTTCCAGCTGAATTCAATGAATACTTAATCAAGCACGTACAATGTGCCAAAGGCAGAGCTAAGAATAAGACAATTCCTGCCTTAAAGGACCTAAACGGAAGTGTGAGGAATAGGTCCTTTGCAGGCACATGCCAGTTTGCTGATGATC